CTACTAATGAAATCGTATTACAGGTCTCGCTTCTTGAAGTGTTTGATCAACTGTGGAGATTTGGTTGGCACAAGTAGGATCCTACGACTCGAGGATCGTAGGACCCGGGATTCGATTTTAGACCATGCGCGTGGTGGCGATCACACGAACTTAAAGGCAGTGGTCGCAATAGCGGAGGGCGGCGCGGTTTGACGACGTCATCAATTGCCATTGGTGGAGGAGCATTGACCACGCCCCCATGGCGATAAGGAGTCCACACCAATGGCGTTAAATGACGACATCAAAATCGCACCGCCCTCCAGCCATCGTGATCACTGCCTTTAAGTAATTGAAAATTATAAGTAAAAACTGAATGGCTTATCACTGCGATATGCTAGACCGTGGGAAAAGGCAACTGGACGTTCAATTGAGGTTCTGGATCTGAGGCTGGACACAAAGAGCACCGCGACGGGATAGCAATAACTGCCACGCACACTCACAAATACATGTGCATGTGTACTTATGTGTGTACATATGCTATTTACATATGTGTACTTACACAAATAACCGCGTTGGACAATCTGTAGAGTATTTCGATGAGCGGCACAAAACAATAACGAGCTCTGCAAGAATCTCGTGCACATTCGATCGCAATACGTTTATGTCAACGATAGATGGGCCTTTTAAGGAAAATTTCCGGTTTCGCTTGAAAACCCCCGCCGCGTGTACATAGGCATTTCAAGCCGCAAAGTGATGAAAGACGTTGGAAAAAAAACCCGGTGACGTGAAGATTGGTTCAAGATTGTACCATTACTCATACACGGCAAGGACTCTGAAAGGAACACAGAAATCAGGGCAATTTGTTGAAAAAAAGAGTAGATTAGCAGGCCAAAATCAAGGTTATGTAGGCATTTCCCTGAAGCAGGAGAGAAAAAGAGAAAGGCTGAGTACGTTTTCCAAGGCAAGAGAGTTTCAGAGTGTGCATGTGAGTGTTGGGAAGTGAACTGAGAGTTCTCCAGATGTTTTTTTCGGAAATCGAGTTCGTAGCGTTTTACTTCCACGGGGAAGCTGATTGGGGAAAGTGCGGAGAGGGCGGCTGGCAGCCATTTATGCGCACCAGTGCGGGGCACCCTCAGCACTTCTAAACATGGGCCACGCTACAATTTGGACCAGACGTCTCCCGTCTGCCGTCGATCGACAACGATCGCGACGACGACGACAATGAGTATACCTGACAACACAGCCAGCCACACACACACACCAAGGAACGCCTTAACCAAAGCGACACCCGAAACCGGTCAGCTGAGTGCTATCAAACTGCGAATTGCGATGGTGTATGTGCGTACAAAGGAGTGGTCATTTTTTGATTGCGGTAAAAACTAAAACCCGCTGACTATCGACAACTTTCCAAGACCGGCAGCGTATCCAGTAGCAGCCATTGCAACATGTGCATCGCCCCACAGTCGGCTGCGATTCATCGCTGGCGCCAGTCGCCACGACGCGATTGACTGCCCCCGTACGTACAGACGTAATCGAATCATCGTTGGTCCTAATTTAGACACCCGAATCCAAGCGCTTTGCCATATGCACTTATCGCCTTGGGCTCCTCAAAAAATGTCGCTATTGACACCCACAGTCTGCCAGACAGCCTTCGTGGGTTTTTACGCTCAAGATGATTTCCAGGAAAAAGTTGAGAGAGTAGCGCGCTCCTGAATTTCGGCACATCTTTTTAACCCTGTTTTGCTCGCCTGTGCACCCAACCATCCTTCTTCAACACATTACTTTAATGAAAATCTTGTGAAAAGTGGAATTTTACTAATTTTCCGTACGGAGTCTCGGCCCTGCCAGCGTTATATCGTCCGGGCGAAGAGAAGGGTTCTAGGACAAGAGCCAAGATCCTATTACATATACCTATTTGTACTTCACATTGTGTAATTGAGAAATATTGCAAAATTGATCAATATTGATCCTTACTCCTAGCGAGGGCAGTATACAAGTCCAGGCCCTTGCCCAGATGGATATTTTCGGGACTTGAAGAAAAACACTGCGGCGCGAGCAAAGAATAAACCCCGGCCCGTCTTCAGCTGCAGAGGGATTACTATGTAGCAAAACCAATAAGGAATATATTCTATTACCGAGTAGCAGTACAGGTTTGCAAGAGTCCTGTTTCAGCTTTCACCCTCAAAACTTTGAATAGACCCGCCCGATAGGTCCAAAATGGGCGCTATAAGATTAAGGTGCGTTCTTATTGGAACAGTGCCAAAACTGTTTCCCTTATTGTTCCATTGTTTTCAATTGAATGGAAAAAAACTTGTTAAGAACCAACTGTAGAGCAAAAAAGGCGGTGCGAACTGAAAAGCGTACGCCTTCTCATAAAATATTGGTGAGGGGGGGGTGCTAAACGGGCTTTGATGAGAACTACCCGTGATGGATGAGATCGAATTGGGAAAAGGGCGCAATTGGAAGATACGGGGGCATCCCTAGGACTAAGTCTAGAAGGGCCAGGAACTCCGGGGAAATGGAAAACGCCAAGCACCCTGGAGTCCCTCCTCCCCCGCCTGGGGATTAGTCCCGTTATTTCATAAAGGAGATGTTTCACGCGATCGAAATCCCTATGCCCCCTGTCTTGCGATAGCGCCTGGAGAAGTCACACAGTACTACAAGTACTGCTGTGTATTACACAAACATGAAGGCGCAAAACCAGCTTCTCTGCTATGAGCTTTACCAATATTTACGTAAAATCTTAGCGTACATGTCAACAGAGACCCTCAGGTGAGCAGACACACACAACCAAGTGAAACGAGCCGGCCCACTTAGCAAGTGGGCAAATGGAAATGGGCTTCTAATTGGAACACAAATGAGATATGGACACGCGAACGGACCAAAGAAGCCCGCTGGGCCATCATATCGAAGCACATAACGCGAGAAAGCTTGAAAAAACCCGACTTCATGTGGATGAAGTGGCAAATGCCAACATGTTATCGAATCGCATAATGCGTGCCGATTCATAGCATCTTCTGTGACGCTCGTGCTCGTCCCATCGGGTCAACGATCGCCCACAATTCCATTCATTTCTTAACTCAATCTCGACGGGAAAGCAGCTAAAAGGATATCGAACTCGAGCCATAAACTTTTTCGTCGAAGTGTGAGCCCTTTGGAAATTATGTACAGCGCTCTGATCAAATTTCCCCGGCCAAATGTGCCCACGACAGTAACAAAATTTGAAAATTAAGTCCCTAAATTGAGCCTTATTAGCCAACGACATATAGAGCGCTCAAAAAAGCGATTTTCCACGCGCAGAGTTGGCGCTCAGAAGCGCTATGGCCCTTCTTGGGGTGGGGTGAACCACGGTCGAAGGTCCTTCTATAGGGAGTCGCATTTGCATCGGTTTGAGGAGAGGAGGAGAGGTCGTACTAGGGATTGGGAGAAGAGAGAGGCGAGGGGAGGTGTTAGGGGGGGGGGGGAAGAGAGATGGAGGAAATGGAGAGGTCAAACGAATAGAGGCGTAAAATATGAAATTTTGTGTTTCAGCATCCTGTATGGGGACGACATTAGGGTCGTCTCCCATTCGGGCGGGGGGTCGCAGACACCACTTTCCTAGAGGGGTCGTGTTATCGTGGCCACTTCCTCGACGCGATATTCGCCCCAGCGTCAAGTACTACCGAGGAAAGCGCCCCAAAAAAAGCCGCATATACCGCTATGATGACTACTAAGGAATTTCTGAGCACTTCAGGGGGCTACAGTAACCTACAAATGGAAAGCTGTTCTTGAGTTTACAATATAAAGGAAGATCACAAAGAGATTTGCTGGTCCAAAGAGCCGTTCCTCGCACGAAGACCAGTGACAAATATAGCCCAGTACCTGATGGGCCAGCTTCACATGGATGTGGTCCCATCAAACAAAGCTGACAGCCACCCCACTACTGGCCCAGCAGCTGAAGCCTGGGCCATCAACTCAAGCCTACAGTCATGTGAGTACTGCTAGTAGGACGATGTTCTACAAGAGAGGTAGTTACACATAAAAATAATGAAAAATAGAAGCGAAGAAGTCAAACAGAGGCCGGCCAGCCTGTGATACTGGGTGGTTGATGTATGTATGACGATTGCTTAAGGACGGAAGCTGCTCGCGTGCAAACTCACTTCAGATGAAGGCCGTATCGTAAAGATAAACAGAAACGGGACGGGCTGCAAGGTAGTCACAACACATTTCGCCTGGCTATTTCGCCTTGTAAACAATCTACGAGAATTAGGTGAACGCATTCGGTTAGAGCAGAGCCACACCAAGAACAAAACCGTTTGGCGCTACGCCAATCACACATCAAATCACAAAAAACTGGTCTTACATAGGACAAATATTAGTAAACAAAACAACGAAATAATTACCAGATTAGTACATGAAATAGATACAAAGTCAGTGAACAAACTTAGGTAATGCCAAGTTTTCCGGTCAAAAAACGCGCTCGCTGGCCCCCGACAGGGTTATAAAGTTCACAGTGGCCGCATGAGACCTCAACTTGATGTATTCAGTGGTCAGTGAACGCCCACCTCTGTGTATCGTTAACATAAAATGATTCGGCACCGAAACCAGTTTGAGTGCGCTAACGCGAACGGGCTAGTCTCATCGTGTCGCCGCTGCTGCCGCGTTGTGTAGCGCGCATTGGGCTTGAGCTGTTGGCGCCAGAACGCTGCGCCTCATTACCAATGTATATCCCTCACTTTCGCCACTCATTCACTCTCAAGCATTCCCAAAGCACTTTGGCGTCTTTCTACTCGCACATTTTCCCTCCATCCCACACCAGCCCAGCCCGTCGGCCCTCGGCCGGCCCTTCTTGAAAAGCTCATTCAAACTCAACACATCCAGCCCAACGGCAGCCAATTTTTGCATACCTCATGCATTCTACTAAGCAGTTGTTCGTCCACCATGCGATCAGAAAAACTCAGCCCAACCACCCGAACAGCCGCATGGCGCATGCGTCAAATATCATCGCATTAACGTCATCGCGTCGACAAATGAGATGTTGTTCAACGATTCGTATCACTAAATACAAACTGAATACTTACTTTTGCCGGTGAAGGAAAATCGAATACGGTAGCGGCATTGTTGAGACTTCGTGGACTTCTCGAACCAGTTTCCACATGAATAACGGCTTTGCTTTTGTACACGGTCGATTTAGGGCTCATTGGACCATTCGACACAGGACTCTTCTCCTGACGTGGAGCGCTGGCGATCTGTAGCGTCGGTGTACCGGGACGCTTCTCGAATTCCGTGATACGTGACGCCACGCTACCCGTCACAGGTACAGGAAAACTCGGGCTCACACGTAAACCAGTACGGAAAAAGTTGTACGTTTGCACTCCAGCGTTTGATAACTGCTCTTTGATGTTGTGTTTCGGCTTGGGATGCGGCAACCCGGAAGGAATCTGATACACCGAGGAAGTCTCACTGTTCGAGTCGGTAGGACTGGGTGAGTTCATCCGTCGTGACGTCGCGATAGTAGTGCTGGAAGCCCGAGGAGGGCTAAGCGCGTGGTCATCCGTCGGGAAGCGTGCGCATCCGCCGAGTCGTCTGGCGCTGTTCGAATAGCCCGTGGTACGAACGCCACACTGCAATTCTTGTACTGCATTGTCCAGATCGGAGAAGTTCGGCGAAGGGCCCCGAAGGTGAACCGACGGTGTTCCCGGTCGTTGAGGAGCCGCATCTCGATGTGGTGGAGTGTATGTTGAGGCTGAAGATGCTTCATGTAGGTAGTGTTCACGCCTGGCTGCTAACTGAGCACCACTGCCCGGTCTGTTCAATGTACTCGAAGGTGAATGCGTATCTTCGTGCAACATCTGCAGTCGTTCAGCAGCTGTTAGGTTGCCGGGTATCCGTTGAATCGTCGGCGATGATGGTCGGCTGTTCACTGTGTGACTCCAAAAGTTGTCAATTGCGCCAGATTTTCTCAGCTCTGGAGCCTCAGCGGCACGACGTTCAATGGCTGAGTTTAGCACCGAGGTTTCGGATCTGTTCATTTCATTATGGCTGGCAGACTTCTGCATCATCAGCGAGCCGGCTCGTCGTGGTAACGTCGGTGCCCCGGAACTTGTGAAGCCATGGAGCAGGCCACTGTCACCCGTTTCTGCCGGCAGGTTCTTGAATCTGAAAAGGTGCAGTGGTGCAATCAGAGTGTCGTAAATCAACGAATAGAACCAGAATAGAAATGGTTTTAGTAGAAGTTAGAATGTTTATTACCTGTTTTGTACTTGCGCAAACGAGTTGCTCCATTCAGTAGTCGATCGATTCATATTTTCTTCAAGTACCGAAGCCAATAGAGAATCAAGCTGGGTCACGTCCAACAGATCTTCCCACCGCTTATTACGTGCAGTGGGTGTGTGGTTGTTGTTGTTCGGGAGATCGGTGTAAAATTTATGTTCAGATCGATTGTCGAACTCTTTTGCAGTCGAGTTGAAGTTCTGCGGTCGTAGCGTCGCAAAGCCGTTCGCGTATCGTGGCGTATCGCTGCGATTTCCGTCGCCACCGCCACCTCCAGCGCTTGATTGCGAAAATGTCGGCGAATGACTGAAGTCGCTGTAAACAGAGACGCTCAGTGGGCTTTCACGAGGCAAGTGTGCTTGGCCGTTCACAGGGTTTAGAGGTAACGATTGAGTGCGATGGGGTGACGCGACGTTGAGATAGATCGGCTGCAGTGACTGCTTCTGATGCTGCTGCTGCTGCAGTTGCTGTTGCTGATGGGCTGGCTGAGCCTGCTGATGACGTTGTTGGGGTTGCTGCTGCTGCTGCTGTTGAGGCTGCTGCTTCGGCACAGAGAGTTCAACCAGAGGATAGCCGGGCACGGCATCCGTAGGACGATAGGAATGTGTGTCGACGGGTCGTTCGTCAAGACGATAGATACGTTGTTGGGCGACGGCCGTTGAGCCAACTGTAGATGAGTACACAGACTGCTTAGCTGACGGATAACGGGAAAGCAGATTCAGGAGCGCCGAGCTACTCGACGGAGAGCGCTCCCGCAGGTGCTGTGTGAAATTGTGGGCGGCGCTATTAAACTGCGGGGTGTGTTGCTCCTCAACTCGCTCCCTGTACGTGGACGGAAACTGAACCGTGTTCGATGCAGGTCGTCGTAGAAGTGTCGCCGATGTGTCGTCATAGCTGCTGATCTGGCCAGAACGGCGTAATGTGCCGCCGGTTCCGACGTCAGCACCACCAGACGCGTCCAACGAGGGGGGCATCGTCGCTGTCGGCAACGATGTGAACGGATCATGATCCTCCGAGAACACTCGACGTTGTACATACGAATGTCGACGGGTGTCAGCACTTTGGGATCGTGGACGATATTCATCACCATACGAAACTCGCGTTATTGACGGGAATTGTACAGGAACCGACGGGGTCTCGTGGTGAACTCCACCGTTGAGATTCATGAACGGATCCGGATGAAACATCACAGGTTCGCTGCGCGCCACCGGCGTTGCACACCTGATCGTGAGCCTGCAACTGGACCAGCTCGAATCATCATCTACACGAATCAAACACGACCCGACGATTCAGCGATTATAGGCACAAAATCAAACATTCGCCAAGAACCCCCCAAAAAACAGTTGACACCACGGCAAACACCAAAATAGATACCGGCTTTAGGGTTGTGTAGGGGACGTAGTGAAGGAGTAACGAGTTTAAGATGCCAAAGTACAGTTTCAAAGGTATACGGTAGTGACTATGCTTAGATATTAATGATCACCAGTGCGTGTTTACTTTACACATGTTCTCGGGCGTAGCCGGATTTTTGTGCTTGTTCAGGAAAAAGCGGTCAAGCATTTCACAAAAGGTAAACATGGGAGCGCAACGAAAAGACTGGATGACTGATTGAAGAAAGTTAACCAGCTGAAGGACCTCTAAAAGACCCCACAACAACGAGGGAACAATCTAAAGATGCCAAGAACAACAGAGAAATCAATCGATACAAAGGTTGATCATTTTGGTTTGAAGTATGACCGCAGTCACTTCAAATGGATGGAATAGGCGTTAAAGGGGGAACGTTTAACGACAGCGATGAATATGACAAAGCGAAAACTCAATATTGTGAATGACGTCATCAACACCTACAAGTATAAGATGACAGTAAAGGCAATTTATAAGGGGTGTTCCTCTGAATCAAATAAAAACCAGCGACGACTGCATTCCTACATCGAAAGTGGTCCTTATGTGCCTCAGTTGAAGGACGGGGTCAGTCTGAAATAGCGCGTCAGGGTTACAGTAGCCATTATTCTTCAAGGACCCCTTAGCCCAAGCCTAGGAGATCCCAAACTTAAGAGGACGGAGCAACTCCAGAAGAAATAAGACTGCCTTATCACCCCGTAGTCCCTCTCCCTTAGGTCTTACGAGTACAACCTCAATGTAAGGCTGAGCGTTACCATAACCCTGACGCACTGTCTCAGCCTGCCCCCCCCCCTAAGGCAGGTAGCGCCTAAAATAGCGCCTAAACCTGTTTTCCAGCTGGAACTACCTCGACTGGAGCAAGCGCGAGCAATCACAGACGTACAGAGGCAACGGCGCGAGGTAGTATGCCTTAATAGGGTCTTTCTCAGCCCCCCCCTCCTTTTCGAACGTCAGCAAGAAATTCACCGAACGAAAATCTTAACCATCGCCATCAAACAAGACCCAACGGTTCAAAGTTGATGAAGTATCGCTTTCAAATACTTTTATTGGGAGCATTAGACCACCCACATCGGTAAAGAACACCACTGAAGATAAAAGAGAAGTATAAAAATTCAAATCTCCTGGTCAGCTGGTAGGTCCAAGCAAGGTAAGTTTCAAAATCAGGTGGAAGATCACAATGATGAAGTCGTTGAGTGAAACTACAAGAACACAGCGATTATGTTCAATATCGCAGTATGATCAGATAGTGATAAAAACCTGGGAAAAAACTTCACGGATCAATAAATCGATAACTGGCCATCAGTTTATAAATCGTGTCGGCTCGCGAATCGAGAACGGCTCTAGGGCAATCCTCAGCGCCGGCGGTATTGTTACAGCGCGTGTGTGGCGGCTGCTGTGGCATCCTCCCGCATTCAGAGGACGACGGGGCTCAGCCCTCCTACCAGCTTTGAGCTGCAGAGTTGTTATAAACTTTGTGGAAGGTACTCGTTCAACTTTAAAACCCATTTTTATAGTCCTGCGTCATTAACCACTTGGACATACGATCAGTGTCAAAATACGCGCTCATTTTAGCGCGCTCAAAAAGCGCCCATTCAACATTGGTTGCCCTACTCTCGAGCAAGGAATAAAGTCAGTCTGAAGATACAACTCCCTATCAGATAGCTTGTCTTCTCCCAATGATCAACCCATCAGAACTTGAAGAAGCGTGCGGCTCGCAAGGGGAGGGCTATGTCGCTGGACGTCGCTTGGCCGCCCATCAGTCATTTCCCGTGAACATTGCACAACGCAGATCCTGATCCTTTTTGTGAGTGAAATACGTGCGGCTGGGCTCACGTAGGTGACAGCAGCAGGAGCGGAAGGAGAGGGGGCTCATGTGGTTCTGATGCGCTTTGCAGGAATGGTAGACGATGTACAAATTACTGGCTAAAACGAATATGTGTGTAAGAAGAAGAAAAAGAAGGATGGAAGGCATGATTCTCAGTGGATGATGTTAGGTAGATCAAATCGATAAGGTGTGATGGCCGCGTCGCGACCGCGCGCTTCCAACAAGCTCCTCCCATCGTGTGGGCACACTCATGGCAGGAATTGCAGACGACCCAAGTAAGAACTATTGACAAGATTTCGCACAGAAAACGAAATAAATGACCCATTTCTAAACGTTTACCCAGAGATGGGAGCAGATAGGAGTTTATGAAGAATCCGAGTGTAATGATTCAATAATTTCGGAACACCTACTGTCCGGCATGATAGAGTAGATGGTTGCACGGCCGAACATTTACCATCATTTGCTCGAATCACCGTCACTAGCGCTAACTTTACACCCATCCCCCCGTCGTCCCCCCGTAAGCGCGCGCCACTACAAACGTATCCGTTGGCGACCACTCCGACAATGTAGTGGACATCTCGAATTGCTGTCCGTGCGTGGCGGCGCTGATACGGCAAACGTCCTTTACAATACTCACAACCACTTTCACTAATTACATTAGCCACGTTGTAACACACGATGGCGCGCACGATGTTTCTAGCGTTTTTCACAGCGAATTACTCACCTCTCGTAGCCTCAATCAATGCTAGACGTGAAAAGAGAGACGACTAATAGCCGGCCAGAGAAAGAGAGAGAAAGAGATATCAGGATTGATTTCCCGAGCAGGACGTTACAAATATTTCAAAAAATACTATATGGAAATCCTTTTCCGTAGGCTGACTATGCGCTATGATATAAGATATCGATCGATTTCCGCAAACGAACGCCCTAACGCGCACGGTAAATCGTTCATTGGGAAATGGAGAGGAGCCTAAGTTGTAATTTTCAGAGGAGAAGATATTTGGCATGATTGACATTTTATATGGAAGATATGGGAAGAGAAATTTTCCTGGAAATTTTTTGGCTGGAAATTTCTTACGAAACCCTAAGAAATTTCGAGAACGTTATGAAAGATGCCCTTCAGCACTTACTAGATGTCACATCTGGGCGGATTTTTCAAGAAGGAGTGTAGGATTCAAGGCTAGGCAGACTAGCATCAGGATATCACGGTAAAAGGGCCGAAGGCTTCATAAAAGACCCCTACAGATATTGGGAGGCTGGCCCTAAATTTGGGCCAGCGCAGTAGTTTGCCCTGATAATGCGCACTGCGCATTTAAGTCCGTTTAGTCAGATTGAATGTAGGGAAACAGACCTTTTTACAAGTAATCCACAAACCAAGTATGAGTGCGATTTTTACCAACCTATCGGTTTCAGAAACAGGGGGGAAGCGATGAATGATAGAGCTTATTCAAGTTGAAAAGGGAATACCGTACACCTCAAGCCATTGCGAGACGCGCGGTGCGCATGGCGGGCTGCGTGGTGCATATGGTGCACCACGCCGTCCCACTACAATCGTTTTGTTTGTGTTATCCAACCATTTTTCACGCTCTGAGGGTGGGTTTATACTTGTCGAAACAGAAGGATTATATTTTCTACGAGATCAAGTTATTGATAGATCAATAGTTACTAATGAGAAAAAAGGCCTAAAGATGACGGGATCTACGATGCGCCACGGCGGTCCACAATGGTTCAATGAAAATTTCACGAAATATTTCGCGTGGATCAATAAAAATTGCTTAAGAAGCTGCCTTAGCGTGAAAGCACGAGTCCCCGCAACAGGACCTGGGGATGATTCGCGACCATGAATAATGCACTTCGAGGAATTGCCGACACTGAAATGTTGACGCTGAAAAGCAGTTGCTACGAGCATCGAGAGAACTGATTGCCTATTTTCACCGCGATTGATGATCGACTCTTTGAAAACCTTTTTTCACAGACAGACCGAAATTTTCAAGGCATATTCTATGCAGGAAACATTTGAAATATTAATCGCATGCCCTATCCTGCGAACGTACTTTGGAATGCAGAGAATGGGGCAGTCAGTAGGTGGAATGAAACAGAGTGAATCACTGAATTCCACAGTAATCCAAACACTTAACTCCAACTAGGGAGATTTCTTAGCAACTTAGGAACCTAAGGAGAATTGAACGGCTGAGAGGATTCCACCGTGGAAATAATTTGAGCAACCTTTCCAGAATCACCTCTGATCGAACACCAACTGTTAGCGCGCCGCGTTCAGTTGAGCTTGTTTAGTTTTGTGCACAGCAGCCAGGTGTCGATGGGTTATCAAACTAGTCTTGAGAATTCGCCAGTCAGCTGTTCCTCGGACCTTGTTGAACTTGCTCCTCCTCACTACTGGCGACTTCAACCAGCTGTAGGTACGACCACCATAAAAACCATTCTAACTAAAGCCTCGTGTGCAAAATTCGAGACTAAGTAGTAGGCCCAATCAGAACTCTTAACAAGGGTAAACCTACCAGGGTTAGTCTAGTGCTGAGGAAATTTGCCCAAAAGTACCCTTTTCCCAGTTGGTGCCCCTTAGCTATGTACCTCCTGCTTATAAGTGTCCTATTCCATCCTACCTGAAAATATACATGGAAGGGGGTAGAGAAGGGGGAGGGAGGTGACCAGTGCTACTTTTTTCCTCCATCTTCAACACTGAATCAGACTAACTAGCCCGACCTCTAACCGGTTTTTTCAGCTGCAGACCACGACCTTGACTTCCCCTTGCAAAAATCCGACAGCGGGGGAGGCAGGTGGAACAGGAAAAATTTAGAAAAATTTCTTGCTAATTCTCAAAGTTTGTCTTCCAATAACGTGAGTTGTTAGCCCTCATTCCTCATGCACCTTCCTCCACAAATACAATAACCATTTTCGCCCACGCCTATTCGTACCCCACTC